ATAAAATATGATCATTGCATTCTGTTTTTATTTACATTTATTTACATTTTACACAGCATCCCAACTTTTTTGGAATTGGGGTTTTATCTGTATATGGGGATTTTAGTATTTTTGAGCTTAAAGGAGGAGATGAAGATGACATCTACAAGTAACGAATAAAAGTGAAACTTCCAGAACTTTATTATTACTTTATTATTTTTATTTAAGGTACAATTATTGGCACCCAATCATTAAGAGTCTTCTCCTATAATGTATAATATTTAACAGTCTGAAACCATCCCTTAATACAGAATATCTCCAGATCTTCCAGGGTCCTAGTTCTAAGTGGTGCCTTATAACTCTCTTCTTCAGCTGAACTTTTCAGATTTTCAGTGGGGTTTAGGTCAGTGGCAAAAGCTAGATTCTGTGGTCTGGAAAATCCAATCACGACCCAGCTTTAGCTTTTAGACAAAGGCAGCCAGATTTTTATGTAAAATCTCCTATTATTTCATGCAGTCTTTTGTAATATGAGTTTGAAGAGGAATGCTTGCAAAAAGAGACAGTAAAGAACAGAAGAAACAAAGATAAAGACTCAAAGTAGCCCTTGGTTGGTCAATTGACTGAAAAATGTTATTGCTTGCGTAAGGGTACTATATCGAACCATCTACTTCACCTCTTCCTCGTCCTCTGGAACAACAGAAACTTGTACAACCAGTCTGGCAGCTGAACAGACCAAATCTAAGGCTCTGAGGCTCTGAGGCTCTGCACTCAGACTCTTCTCAACTCAGCTGCCTGGGCCTCACCGCCTGTTCCGCAGTGAGGACACTTCACACCGCCTCACGTTTGATCCAGGCAGACAAGCTGCAGCAGGGGGTGATGGGGAGGCGGAACAATGAGCTCTCGTTCCCTCTCAGCTCAAGTGTTAAAAGAGCAGAGAGGGAACATGGGGAGAGAGAGAGAGAGAGAGAGAGAGAGGGACGAGCAGCAGCGACAGAGACAGCTAGTGCTGTAAAGGTCGAGTAAAGAGAAGGACTGAAAAGTCTAGCTGAAGCCACTGAGAAGTGCCTGCTTTGTCTTGGTTTTATTGTTGTTTGTTTGGTTGTATTTGGAGTGAAAATAAAGTAATATGCTGCTGCAGATCGGAACCCTTCCTCCAGCGTCCTCCCTGAGCCCGGGGTAGCACATTACATGCTACATGTATATGAACTGATTTAAAATGTGGACATATTTCACCACCAGCAGCGATATGACTGTATGAAGAACAGCGAAGGTGAGAGCAGTTAGCATCATGCTAATCAGGATAAAGATCACTGTGAACATCGAAACGGAGTGGAAAAGAAAAACACTTAATATAAAAAATATATGGTTATGATTGTGATCATCTCTCTCTCTCTCTCTCTCTCTCTCTCTCTCTCTCTCTGTAGGATTGTATTAGTGTGAATCTGTAGGAGGAGATAAAGAGATAAAAATGGCGGCTGCAAGAAACAGTAAGTTAAACTTCCAGAAGCTACAAAAGGTTTTACTGTGAACATCATTAAATAATATTCAATCAGAGAGTTTATTTTTATTGTGGAGACACACGAGACACAACTATTAATGTGTGTGTGTGTGTGTGTGTGTGGTGTGTGTGTGTGTGTGTGTGTGTTTTGACACAGATGAGTTCAAACCTATTGGACCCCGTTATACAGAGTTGCAGTCTCCCTCTGCGGTCACTCTCTCCTGTCACCTGTCTCCTGAAATCAGTGCTGTTGCCATGGAGATCAGGTGGTTTAAGGGGACGGACTGTGTTTGTCTCTATAAGAACAGGCAGGTGACAGAGGGGAGGGGCTACGAGGGCAGAGTGAGTCTGTTCACTCAGGAGCTGCAGAGAGGAAACGTCTCCTTACAGATCAGAGACTGTAGAGACTCAGATTTAGGACATTATTTGTGTCGGGTCACCAATGGAGACACAACAGAGGAATGTACAGTAGGAATGTGGGGTAAGTATTTCAGAGGTTCACTCTACATAAACTCATCATCATCATCATCATCATCAGCATCTCAGAATGAAAGATGAAGAGACAGAAATGAGAAACACAGATGTTCAGAATGGTGTTGTGTTCAGATAAAGGAGGTAAAACATACAGAGGATAAATGATGTTAATGTGGAGTGAAGGACAGATGGAGCATTTCAGTAGAAAAAACAGTGACTCTGTTTCTGACTCTAAACCTCCACATCATGACTGCACAGTGGAAAACTTACAACTGCAGCTGAATTAAAAACTTAGAGCAAAATAAGAACAAAATAAATGTTTTGAATGAAAAATTAAAATGGGAACATAAACGTGAGACTCATTAAACATAAAGTTGATTAAACATCCAGTGAAATCTACAGACTGTATTCAGATCATTAATACTCACAATATGCACTGATCAGGCATAGTATTGCACCTCCTTGTTTCTATACTCATTGTCCATTTGATCAACTCCACTTACTACATAGCTGCATTTTATGGTTTGTAGTGGTGTGTTAGTTTATGTTGTGCTGGTATGAGTGGATCTGACACTACAGTCTGTAATTGTAGAACTACAAAGTGCACCTATACAGTAAGTGGAGCAAATAAAATGAACATTGAGCGTAGAAACAAGGAGGTGGTCATAATGTTATGCCTGATCAGTGTATATTAATTATTAAAATATTATGTTTAATACGTGACGTCACTACAGGCTGCTGACTGACTCTCACAAAAAATCCTTTTCTTAACTAATTAAAGCTGCAGATCCACAAACTACAGACACAAAAAGGGACGTATGCAGAGTTGAGCTGCGCGTAGTGAGGAGATAAAACCGAAACTGTGCATCTTTATTCACACTTCAGTCAATCTCATTTCTCTTGAGCGATGTCCCCTCCCCCCAGGAGCTGTATTAAGTCCAGCGCCCCCATCTGACCATTTGATGTAATCACAATATTTCAAACTGAAATTAATGTCTTTCAGTGTAAAATACAAACAAACTAATTTAGACCAAATTTAAATATAAATTACAAAATGAATACATTAAAATAATGATCAAAACAATAAAATAAAACATAGATTGAAGATTAAATCTTATCTTAATCTAATAATCTTCTAAAGAGTTTAAGGTGAAGAATGTGAGTGAATGTGATCTCCAGCCTGTAGATCTGGTGATGATGGTGAAGATTCTCTACATCTGTAAAATCACAGCAATACTACAGTTTTACAGCTGAGATATTTCAAGCCAGCTCAGCTTCAGCCTGACAGGACACATCATGGATTTCCATCAACAAACATTCAAGAAAAAAAAAAGCTTCATTTATTTAATAAACGCAAGCAAAGTTTTATATATATAATATATATATATATATATATATATATATATACTATATATATATATATATATACTAGTAATTATGCATCAACAACTCCTGAACTAATATAGTAATTATCAGTAATGAATAATGTGTTATGATTCATTACTGATGAACAAACATGAGAAGGAATTGTTTTATATATATATATATATATATATATATATATATATATATATAATTTATTGACACTAATATTGATGAAAATAGATCTAAATGTTATTATCCTCTGGCTTTTGCAGAGCTAATTCTAATAAAATAAGACTCTAATAAAGAACTCTAATTATGTGGTTCTTTAGTGAAGAAGTGTTTCTGAGAAAACTCACTATTTAACAAACTTTCTTAAAAACATGTTAATGAAGTGATTTTGGGAAACGAACCCAGAATGATCAGCACAGTAAAAAAGCCTGACCTGCTGCTTGACGGCTCTGATTTGAGCTGTTTTCAGCTCTCAGTTCTCCACATAAACCTGAAAACGTGTTGATGGTGTTTGAGTATTAGGCTCTCCTGAAGCTCCGACTCCTGACTGTTACAATAGAGATTCATCTTTTAGTCTTTCATTCAGTTTATTCATTAGTTTTCCTTCAGCTCATGATCCTCATTCATTCATGAAGCTTCAGAACACAAAACTCTCTTCTTATATTTACCGTTTCTTAATGATTTATTTCATATGTTCCTTCATGATCTGTTCCTGATTGACACTATATTAGTTAATAATAGTTATTATATCAGTTCATCTTTTAGTTCATATATCAGTTAATCTTAGTTATTATATGAGTTAATCTGTCTGTTCATTCTGTAAATGTACTTTATCTGATTTTAACTGCTGAAGGAATAAAAACAATTCCTTCTCATGTTTATTCATCAGTAATGAAGCATAACACATTATTCATTACTGATAATTACTATATTAGTTCATGAGTTGTTGATGCATAATTACTAGTTTACTAAGGAACCTTATTGTAAAGTGTTACCAATCATTTCTATAAGGGTTGAGTTTCTGCTGTAGGTTTACACTTTAACTGTTTAGCTGAACATCTTCATGGAGTTGTACTGAAAGCATTGAGTGACAGTTCAGTAGTGAAGGATGAAGAACTACAGTACAGATGAGAAAAGGAGATTCTGATAAGGAGATAAAGAGTTAAAAAGACTCAAATATTATAATTATAAAAGTGTTTCTCATTGAGATTTGACTAACTTTGTGTTTCGTTCTGTTTTTATTCCACAGTACGGTGGGTGAGTACATAACTATGTTTACTTCTTTCTCTGCTGGTAATGACTGATTTTAAACTCTTATCACATGAACTACATTCAATACAGACATACACAGAGAGAGAGAGAGAGAGAGAGAGAGAGAGAGAGAGAGAGAGAGAGAGAGAGAGAGAACACAGACAAATTGCAGAAAATTACAGTAGCATATAACATACTGAAATAGAAATGTCTAGTTCTATAATGTAACACTGTCAGTCTGTATCAGTTCCTCATATAGGAAATAAAGACCCCAGACAACAGTGCAGCATCATCCACATTCACTTTGATGAAGTCACTTTGACTTTATCATTTCCAGCTTTCTAATATTTACATATAACAATTCACTTATGATTCTGTACATGAAATCTTCACATTATATTATTCACTTCACAGCGCCGATCACGGAGAGAAGCACAGAGAGGTGAGTATAATTCAGTGTGTAATGCTTTTATTGTGATGTGCTGATTGTTGATGAAGAATGTTTGTGTTGTAAAGACTGAATGTATTTATCTGTACTGTGTGTTCAGAGTGTTCAGCTGAACATCATCAGCAGAAAGAGTTACTAACACACACTTCAGCTCTGTATGTATCACTATAGTGTAGAGCTCACAGCAGCCTGAGATGACTGAACACCATTAATAACACTGTTACCTCATTCACACACAGACTCACACACACTCACACACACACACACACACACACACACACACATCTGATCTACACACTGATACTGACAAATTACACAGTGAAGCTCACAGTTTCTCACACTGATTATCATTAATATAATCAGAAATTTGTGTTAGAATCATTTCCTTACATGAACTTTAATGGCAGAGTCACGTTTATATCAGCATTTATTTAATACTGTTCTATGAAGACAGTAATGTAGCTAATAAAGAAATATGATAACTGGTCAGCAGGATTTTAATACAAAGTTTATTGAACAGAATAACAGGTTACAGACAGTCAGAGAAGCAGCAGAGAGTCAGACTTATTGAGGAGAGAAACAGACTAACTTCTCAGAAGCTACAGAGCAGCAGATCTCAGACTTCAAACTAGCTTCATTTTTTGATCTTGTTAATTTGCAGTTTCACTTTTAGAGCTCATTAATTTTTCCTCTCAGACTGTAGAATATCAGACATAAAAACATTTTTTCTTCTTGGGTCCACTTAGAAAACATAAGCTGTTTTATGTATCAAAACAGTCATAATTCAGTTTTACATTATTTTTTTTTTTTATCTTTGCTTCATTACTTGGTTTTAAACAGGCTGTTTGTGTTACTGTGCCTTTAGGATTGATATCTGTAAATGAGTTCTGATTGGCCTGTATTGTGCCTCATTAAAAAAGCAGTGCAGGCTGAAACCCTCCTTATGCTTACTTCCTGCTGAATAGATGAATATATAAAAATGTGTTGGCTTTCGTGCCATGTATATACATATATATATATATATATATATATATATATGATGATAGGGGCTCTTTAAATGTCTATGCTGTCTCAGTGTATGTCTCACTGAAGTCCTAAATACTCCTTATTACTTGTGTGTGAATTAGTGGGACTAAACTTTTGTCTGCTGAGTAGACAAATATATGTAAATGTGTAAAAGGCATCATAAACACAGTGAACTTAAAATGGGCTGTATTTGAAGCTAGTTTCCATATATGGACTGTATGAACTGGAGAGTGAACAGTACATTTTGACAATTCAACACTGTTTCCAAACTACATTAAACTTTAATTAAAACAAATGATGAAAATGATGTTTTCTATGTGGGCTCTTTAAACATCTGCACATCTTCATGTCTTACTAAAGAAAATATGGATGTGATGTTTTGTCTTAGTATGTACTTTAAATATATGTTCTTATTTTCTCTCTAATCAGAGTCTCGAGTTCAGAGAGTCTACGTTTCTCAGGTGAGCACATTTTAATAAATTATAAAAATAAATATTAGCGTGAGTGAAGGCTGTTCAGTTTTCATTGTTCATTAAATTTATATTTGTTTAGTTATGAGTTACGTTAGTTGCTTCTTTTCTCTTTCATGGTGTTGAGTTGAGTGTTAGTACAGTGTTGATGCTGATCAGTGTTCTGTAAGTGATCATGATCCTCAGAAGCTGCAGAGCTGAACTATTTTAATTCCTCTTTTCTGATGCTGCGTTTCTGTGGATCTGTTATTCACTTCCCATGAACTCATGACTGATGAATGATTTATTATGAAAACTAAAAATATAAGATGAAAAAGCTCTTTTTCAGTTATTAATAAAATATTGTCTGTGATGATCACAGCACAGTGTCTGTAGTGTATCTGTCTTTCTCAGTCAGACTGTGTTTAAAGTGGCACAGCGGCAAACAGACAGTGTCCTTAATGTTCTCTAAACACAGGTTTTAAAATATGCTACCATTTTAAACACAATATCAGTTTAATCAGTTAAACTCATCAGAGTCTCTGCTGTTATTAATATCAGCTTTCAGTGATTCATACTGACACACCAACAGTGATTTAAACAGAGAAACAGTTATTGGTCATATAACATACAGAATGACATCATGTATGAAATCTTCACACTTTTTTATTCAGAGTGACAGAGAATGGACAGAAGAAGAGAGACTGAAAATGAAGGAATCTGCTCTGCTGACCGGTGAGTTTTAAAAGAGATACAACATTAAAATCAGTGACAGTTAAACCTGTTATATTCTAATATTATAGTGTGAGCAAGTTTCCCAAAAACATAAAAAAAAAATTATTATAATTAAAAGGTTTGGTCATAATATTTATATAATGCAGTGTTATGAAACTATCACATCACAGACTCTGTGTTTCACTGGTTTTGATATAAATTATTCAGATCTCTCTGCTGCAGTTTTAGAGAATCTTTCTCTGATAACTGTTTAACATCATCACTCTATTCTGTTAAAGGCCTGTTTTAGAGGATGTGATGATGATGTGACTTTGCTGATACTCCTTCAATCAGTTTTCATCACTATATTTATGTGTTTATTCCTATTTAAAGCATCTGAGTAGCTTAAAGGTGAACTCAAAACATATTTTAAAAATTCAGTGGTTGAGACGTAAACAAAATCATTCCGAGTGGTTTGATGTGAAATAGTTGATTGTATTGAAATTTACTGACTGATTTATTTACAGTGGTGGTGAAAAGAATCAGGGGTTGTGATGCTACAATGCAAGCATAGCAATTTACTTTACTATTTAAAACTTCCAGTGAACCCACACCTGTCTTCTGAGATTTTATATACAATGCTGATGATGGTAAAACAGTGGTAAATCTAAAGAAATACTTTTTTGGGGACATTAAAACTCCCTGCGTGTACCTCTCAACCATGAATAAATTGGGAAAAAAATGCATTTCAGGCCAAAATCTTCTCTCAAAACTATCGTTAATCAATGTCTCCGAAATTCGGCAGCATATTTGTAACCATTTCATGTTGTTTTAATGTATAAATCAGTCTGATGACTACCTGGATGTTAAATGTTAAATTAATGTGTTTGTCATAGAGTCACCAGGACTGAGCAAACTTCTTAAAGACAAAGAGAGTCTTCTAATGGAGAGAAATACACAACTGATGGAAAAAGACAAACAAATTCAAAAGAAAGAAAAACTTCTGAAAACAATCGCAGAGACACTTCAGATGAAGGACAAGATGCTGGAAGAGAAAGAAACACTTCTCAGAGAGACAAAAAGAAAACTAGAACAGATAAATGAAGAATGTGAGATGAATCAGAAACAGCTTAAAGATAAAGACTCACAACTGGAGAATCAGATCAAACTGCTGAGAGAGAAAGAGACTCTACTGGAGATCACAGTGAAAGAGGAGGAAAGCGGTAAAAAGCAGCTGGAGACTCTGAGAAAGGAACTGCAGGAGAAAGAACAACTTCTGACAGACAATGTAAAAACACTGCAGATGAAGGACAATGAATTAGAAGAGAAGGAGAAACTTCTCAGTGAAGTAAAAGATGAACTGAAACAAACAAAGAAATTAGAGGAGAATCACAGAATAAAAGTGGAAGAAATGGAGAAAAGACTTGTGGAGAAAGATGAAGAATTAAAAGAGACAAAACAAGAACTGAAAGATAAAAACACGATTATAAAAGAACATTTAGAGACTGTTGATAAGAGAGATTCATTATTAAAGGAAACTAATGAAAGATTAGAAAGTGTTAATAAACAGCTTAAAGATAAAGACTCACAACTGGAGAATCAGATCAAACTGCTGAGAGAGAAAGAGACTCTACTGGAGATCACAGTGAAAGAGGTGGAAAGCAGTAAAAAGCAGCTGGAGACTCTGAGAAAGGAACTGCCGGACAAGAGCAGCAAACTACAGGAGATGATGATCCTACTGGAACAACAGAAAACTGAAGTGAGTGAAAAAGACAAACAGCTTGAAGAAAAGGAGAGACTTCTAAGTGAGAGAAACACACAGCTAATGGAAAGAGACAAGCAGGTTGAGGAGAAAGACAGACTTCTAGAGGAGAGAAACAAGCAGCTGCAGGAGAGAACAGATCCAGACTCAGCAGCTCCAGCCAGGAGGAGAAGCAGCAAAGAGGGGAATCCTCCAGAAAGTGAGTAATTTTATTAAAATAATTAACAAAATGAATATGAAGGACGTCTATATTTATGTCATGCCTCATTTCTTTGTTCTTTTTGTTTTACAGTGAGTGGAGAATCCTCTACTTCAGCCTCTCCAGAGTCACTTCCTGTAGCAGAGCTCAGGCTGGTGCTGCTGGGGAGGACTGGATGTGGGAAGAGAGCAGCAGGAAACACCATCCTGGGCAGAGAGGAGAGGAGCCAGGCTGGAGCGTCTACAGTAAGGCAGCAGAGTGAGAGCAGACAGGAGGAGGTGGCTGGGAGGCAGGTGACTGTGGTGGACACTCCTGACTGGTTCTGTCCTGGACTCTCTCTGGAGGAGCTGAGACAGGACGTGGGACTCTGTGTCCATCTGTCTGCCCCAGGACCCCACGCCTTCCTCCTAGTCATACCAGTGAAGCAGTCTACAGGAGAGGAGAGAGGCATGCTGGAGAAAATGGAGGAGATTTTTGGAGAGAGATGTTGGAGGAACACCATGATCCTTTTCACTGTGACTGATGAAGTCCAAGAGAAGAACATTGAAGAGTTTATCCAGTCAGGAAAGCAGGAGGTCCAGAGGCTTGTAGAGAAATGTGGGAACAGGTTTCACTGTCTCAGCATTAAGGAGAGTGGAGATGGTTCTCAAACCTCAGAGCTGCTGGAGAAGATCGAGAAGATGGTGAAGGGAAACAGAGAGAAATTCTACAGCAGTGAGATCTACCTGGAGACACAATCTCAGATCAGAACAATGGAGACAAATATTATGAAGGCAAGAGAAGAAACTAAGGCAAAGGAAGTGAGAAAAATGAAAGAAAAACTAGAAAAGGAGGTGCAGAAGTCCCTGAGAAAGATAGAGGGATCCATACAGGAGCATAAAGGAGAGATAAAACCACTGAATGACCGAACAACTGAGCTAGAAAGAAGAAGGAAAGAAGAGAGGGATGAAGAGAAAAAGAGAGAACTGGAACGAGAGCTGGAAAGAGAGTTAGAGAGAAGAACAGAAATAGATGAAAAGGTGAAGAAACTAAAAGAAAAGAGAGAGCGGGAGAGGAGAGAGATGGAGGAGAGACACAGACAGGAGATGGAGGAGATCAGGGAGACGTATGAAGGAGAAGCCAGAATGGAGGCAGAGAGGAACCTCATGAAGATCATCCTGCCTGAACTCCAGAGAAACATTTTGGCCTCAAAGTCAAAGATGCAGGAAGAGTTCAGCAGACAGATGGAGGAGAAGGACAGAGAGCTGGAGAAACTGAGACTCAGAGTGAGAGAACTTAGTAGTACTTTACTTGAGGAGGTCCATAAATATACAGGAGGAGCTGCCCAGGAGCAGAAGGAGGTCAGTAGGAGACTCTCAACATGCTGAGAGAGCTCCTCTACTGCTGGACATACAGACTGGATAGAACAGGCTGGGTGGGTTTAAACACTGCCTGTTACAGTAAAACTGCTGATATTATGATTTATGTACATACAGTGTTACTATTATTCATAATACAAGATGCAGATGCTGCTCATTCGGGGTGTAATGATACACTCTGCTCAAGATTCGATTTTCTTATGATACTTTAAACAAAATTTGAATGGATAAAAATTTTGAACAACATTCATTTTTTACTTCTGAAGTGTAAACAATGCAAAATAAAGCACATTGGACCTGATCAGTTCCATGTGCTGTGCCCTGCAGGTCATTTTTGGGGTCTCAATCAATGGCCCTTGCTCCCACCTTTTCTGTTTCCTTCACAATGTTGGACTTAGGAGAGATAAGGGACATGTCTTATACCAAACACAGTCTGAGATCATGTCTCATTTTCACATATGGAAAGGTGAAAAAATAGCTTCAACTAAACTAAAAATCATTAAAGATGTATGTATATTCAGTCACATATATGCAGAGTTATGTGTTTTCCCTCATACCATTCCTCTTTACCTGTTTCTTTCAAATATACACCTAAACTGAGTTTTAAATCTAGTAATCACAGTGATGCACACACAGAGAATTGGAAAGCAAACAAGTAATGAGTGACACTCTGGGTGCGGTGGGGGCTGTTTTCAGAGGTTTCAGAAGTTTCACAATATCCTCAGCATCACTGATGTCAAAGCCGTCCAGAGTATCGATTTATATCGATCGATGTACCTCTGTACTCACAAGAGCTGCCATTGTGGCTGCTTGTTGTTCGAGATAGCGTTCAAGCATTTCTAGTGAGTTATTTCATTGTGTGATGACATCCATGATGAGTTTCTGTGGTGGGATCTGTAGCAGTTCCTGTTAAGCCACGGGCACTTCAGTGGAAGAAGGCGACTATGCGTCTCACTTGACTGAGCAATCGATTGACATGATTTGCACTTAGGCCTGCTTGGGAAGCAAGATTTAAATAGTGGGCAAAACACTTACAACGCTAGCCCAGCCTCTTTCACTGCTACCTCCATATTGCGTGCATTGTCCATAACAACAGCAATGTTGTGATTAGTTCCGAATCCAAAAGTTCAACACCTCAGCTATGTTTAGCCCAGTGTGTGACTCAAAAAGAGAGTTTGGAGTATGATGCTCACCATTTCCCACTCTACAGTGATCAAATGTGCCGTTGTAGTGACACAGCTCTGGAAAGCTGTGTCCACCCGTCTGTTGTTATTGCTTTGCCGTCTGCCTCTTTCAAAGTTTGCATCACCTTTGCTTTTGTTTTATTGTACAGGGCTGGTAAAAGTGTGACTGAAGTGTGGATGTGATTGGATGCTGTACTTGGGCTCCAGCCTTCCAACTAGAAGCAGAAATCTATAATTATCGACTTCAGAAAAGAGCCTCATGTCCTTCGCAATAATAACACCAATGCAACTGGTTATTTCTTGGGCTCTTATGCTAGATTGTGGAAGTGGGGCTGCAAAAGCACTTTGTAGAGATGTTTGGCCTTTGAGCACTTTTTTCCTCGCAGGCAGTGGCAGGAGCTTTTCACTGTGATTGAGCTGTAAATGCTGTATTATATTTGTTGTGGTAGCTGTTTAGTAGGCCACGGTTTTTGCCCTGTTGTTATTTTTGTTTTGGGAAACGGTAAAACCAAAATGTTGCCACACCTCGGATTTAAAACACGACGGAGCAACCTCAATCTCAGATACACCTTCACCAGTTTCCATGGCAGAATGGAAGAAGCTGCAAGGCTATTCATGAGGCTAAAGACTGTGGCGTATGGGAGCATAACATATGATGTGCTGGTGTGGGTAAAATCGATTGCACAATCTGGTGTTTAAATAATGCAATTGCATTAGATGGCATAATAAACAGCACACACTTGATATCGTCCATTACCACAATGCACATCATCACATATTTGCATTGTGATATGTCACAATGTATCGTTACACTCCTACTGCTCATCTATCAGCTTCTGACAATCTCTATCATTAAGTCACATCAGTTACACTAGTTTAAAGGAGTTCACTGCAGTTTACTGTATAATCTGCATGACCGATAAAATCTTTTACTTAAATGTGATTTACAAACAAAAGTTTCTGCACAATCACATTTGGATATCACTCCAGGCTGAGTCCAGCAGGTCAATGTGAAACTGTTTGTGCACCATTTTATCTGCATCTTAGGTCTTTATATTGAACATCAGTCACATTAGTGGCTCAACTGCTGTGAACTGAAACACTAAAGCAGTGAGTGGATTCAGTGCTGTTTTCACTGTATTAATGTAGTAATAACACTAAACACTGATCAGGCACTTGACTCTGAATGTACTTCTCACTGCAGTCTTTTGTAAGCTTTAGAGTATCAGACCAATAAGTGCTCTTCATCAATATGGATTTTTTAATGTTCATAATCAAGCTGGACAAGTTATTATTGTGATTATGATGGTCTTGTACCATTCTGCTGGTAGTTTTTCCCACTTCTCTACTGCAAACTTTTCAAGCTCTTGGATGTTTGCAGGGTGTCCCTTCCCTGTGACAGATTTCAGCTGTCTCTTAAAATTTTTAATGGGATTGAGATCAGGATTCATTGCTGACCAGTTTAAAATAGTCCACTTCTTCTTTTGCAACGATTCTACTTTTTGATGTGTGCTTTGGGTCTTTATCATGCTGGAGGACCCATAATCCCTGACCCAAACCTAGCTTTCTTACAGTAGGTAGCACATTTCGCTCTAAAATGCCTTCGTAATCTTCTGATTTCATTATTCCTTTAATCCAGTTGAGGCCTCCAGTTTCTGAGGCAGCAAAATTACCCCGCAACATTATGGACTGACCACCAAGTTTGACTGTAGGCAGTGTCCTTTTGCTTTCAAGCTTCATTTAATTTCATTTCATATAAACAAACTGCTGGTCCGCATTGCCAGAGAGCTCTATTTTCATTTCGTCAGTCCACAACACATTTGCCCAAAAGGACTGTGGTTGGTTTAGGTTAATTTTGACAAAAATCAATCTTGCCTTCTTATATATTTCTTTCAGCAATGGAGTCTTCCTTGTCCTTCATTCATGAAGTCTTTGGTGTGTGGCGTATGGTACAGATTGAAACCATCACGCCAGATTGCTCCAGGTCTGCCTTTAGCTTTTTGGATATTAATCATGGTTTTTTTTCACACCAACCTTTGAGGACTCACTGATTTTCCTCTTTGACCCACATCTTAGGAGGTTCTTAATAGTTCCATGAGCAATAAAGTTCCTAATTACATTACACACTGTTGAAACAGGGATGGCGAGGACTTTGGAGATGGCCTTGTACCCTTCACCATTCTTGGGCTTAGAGACAGTAGCACTTCTGATGCTCTCAGACAGCTCTTGTGTCTTCAGCATTGTGAAAAGGGATCAGAGAAAGTAAAGAGGCCTTTTTACCATTCATTGGTTAAATGAAGTCATGTGAGCCCTCATTTATCACAGGTGATTCTAATTTCCAATTTATCACAGGTGAGCCTAATCTTGTCTAATCTGAAAGGAATTCATCAATAGGGTGCCAATAATTCTGTCATATCTATATTTCTATTTTTATGCTTTTTGACCCTCTATTGCTTTTATTTGTTTCACAACATGTTTTTATTTTTGTAGATATTGTACATTATGTACTTACAATTCAGGGGTGCCAATAATGGTGGACAGAACTGTATGTCTGAACAAACTATTTTATTTTGATATTAGACACATTTAAAACTTTCACACAACTTCTATTGAACTTGTACTTTCTTTTCTTGTTCTATGATACAGTTTTGTTGTATGAATTTCTGCTACAGATCAGAGCAAAATCATCTGAAATGATAAAACCACATTCATTGTTGAGGTGAAAATCTCACTAGTCCAGCTAGTGTTGTGGCTACACACAGTGCTGTCTGTTCAAGTAAGAGCTCCACTACATCTGCACTTTAATTTCTCAAGACCAAATCACTGCCCAAATATGTAGTGATCATGAGAAAACAGCAGAGTGACATCAGATCTCAGATCTCTTTCTCTGTGGAGGAAACACTGTTAGAACTCTGCTTCCATCTCATGGACTAACAAAGCAACAGCAGCAATATGTGTTAAATGGACAAAGCTCAGTTCAGTGCTGAGAGAAAACATTACAAATAAAACTAATTAAACTAATATTGCAGCATTTAACTGCTGCTGTTAAGAACACTGTTGAAAACTGCTGTGTGTGTGTTTAGTACAATGATGAATCTTCAGAGTGTTTAGATTTGACAGCTCTGGGGGAGATCAGAGAGAAATTCATGTGAAAAGCATAAATATGGAGGATTCAGAGTCTCCAGAGCATCTGATCAGCTTTCCAGTGACTGTAGACACACACACACACACACACACACACACACACACACACACACACACACACACACACACTCACATTCTAATATCAGAGTTGAGCTCTTTCCCTATTATTGTTACTTACACCAATCAGGCATAACATTATGACCACCCCCTTGTTTCTACACTCATTGTCCATTTTATCAGCTCCACTTACTATATAGGTGCACTTTGTAGTTCTACAATTACAGACTGTAGTCCATCTGTTTCTCTGCATACTTTGTTAGCCCCCTTTTACCCTGTTCTTCAGTGGTCAGGACCCCCATGGACCCCCACAGAGCAGGTACTATTTGGGTGGTGGATCATTCTCAGCACTGCAGTAACACTGACGTTGTGGTGGTGTGTTAGTGTGTGTTGCGCTGGTCTGAGTGGATCAGACACCTCAGTGTCACTGCTGGACTGAGAATAGTCCACCAACCAAAAATATCCAGCCAATAGTGTCCAGTGGGCAGCGTCCTGTGACCACTGATGAAGGACTAGAGGATGACCAACACAAACTGTGCAGCAGCAGATGAGCTATCGTCTCTGACTTTACATCGACAAGGTGAACTGACAAGGTAGGAGTGTCTAATAGAGTGGACACAGTGTTTAAAAACTCCAGCAGAGCTGCTGTGTTTGATCCACTCATACCAGCACAACACACACTAACACACCACCAGCACGTCAGTGTTACTGCAGTGCTGAGAATGATCCACCACCCAAATAGTACCTGCTCTGTGAGGGTCCATGGGGGTCCTGACCACTGAAGAACAGGGTAAAAGTGGGCTGGAATGTGATTAACTTTTAATGTTGACTGCAGGCATTTTCTGGAGTTTAATATAAAGTAAATTTTACTGTAGAGACATTTGAAGGTATAATTTAAAGATTAAAATGTGACTGAAATATAAACTGTATATGAAATGATTATCTTTCTGCAGTTATGTTTTATGGCACCAGAAACTAACAATACAAACACAATTTCTCTTCTCATGACAACTCATAACAACAAGCTGATGCACAATTACTTCAAAACTCTGTTTTTAAAGATAGAATGAAAATAAATTGGTCTATTACACATTTAATGGAGCAGCAGGGTGAACTAAGTGAAACGTTCACATAACAGACAGTGGGACACAAACATAATTGGAATTCATTAGTTAATTAGGATTGTAATTAAATATCCTGGCTTTAATATAATAAGACCTGTTATATGCCATGGTCTTCATAGCATGTTGTGCTTAAAAACATGATAATATATATTTATGATATATTTTCTTTAAACACACTTTACCTAACATTTTCAGCAAAACTGGGACATCTAATCATAAAATGTGATCTGTTCTTCATCTCAGTCACAAGTACAGACAAACACACTGTGTTCACACATTAAATCAGTGTGTTCAAATGATCTTCACCCAGTAATCTCAGTATTATGATCTATTTGAATGAATGAGGGTCTGTTGAGTCTCTTTATCTGTGATTTCAGTCAGAAACACGACAGAATCAGCAGGAGGAGATGCTAACAGCTGAAATTAGCTAATAATAAGAAAAATTAGCAGCATGGTAAGCAGATGTTAATCATTTATAGGATGGTTTCAATATAACAAATAAGCTACAGAGTGAATATATAGAAAATGACCTTTTAATTCATGTTTTTTAGACATTTAACCCCCCATAAGCCCCATTTTGGGGGAAATTATCTGGTATTTTGGGTGCCATTATCTGACATATCTAACAGAAATTTGATATCTTTATGAATTTGATTATTTTGTTATAAGAAATTTACTTAGCGCCTGCAAATTCTGTAATCTTTTGTAATTAGCGTAAGGTGTTTTGTATTGATTTTATTTCCTCTTGGATAAAAGTCAACTGTGCATTTTGCAAAATGAAGGCTTTGGGTCCTAGAGGTTAAACTTTGTAGTGAATGTTAAGAAAAGATCTTTTATATACACATTACTTTTCCTAAAATGCACATTTTTAGTGGTAAAATTGTTTAATGCTGTGATGATTTAAGCATATAGATTGTACAGCATTACTACTTCTGACAGCTGTAGATCAGACATGTACAATATTCCACAGAAATATTAAATAATCCTTTCTGTGTAGAGTTTGCATGTTCTGAGTGTGTGTGTGTCTGCCCTGTGATGGGTTGCCTTCTGCCCAATGAGTGCTGGGATATAAATTGTACAGCATTACTACAGAACTCTATATTCACTAATATGATAAAGACACTATTTCCACTCAGTCTAAAGCTACATAAACATCACCTTTGGGCTCTTAAATGATTTCTGTGAATTCATGTTTGTGGAAGAAAATAATAATGAAACACTACAAATAAAATCACCACAAATGACTAAAAATGAGCCGAAGTAATGGAGGATCCAGTCTCCTCTGCAAACAAATTCCAACAAAGCAGGAGCTGAACACATGATTAGATGTTTGACTGAGATCAGTTGAATAAACAAACAGAATCAGTTGCTTCTGCCTGTTTGGAATGAAAACCTGCAGCCACATTGGCCCCTTGCTGAGAAGACTGGACACTCCTGGACTAAAGAATCACTGCACAAATGTGTTCATGATGCACTGTGGTGTGTGTGTGTGTGTGTGTGTGTGTGTGTGTGTGTGTGTGTGTGTGTGTGTGTGTGTGTGTGAGACGTGGTGGAGTCTCTGTGTGTGTGTGTGTGTGTGTGTGTGTGTGTGTGTGTGTGTGTGTGTGAGACTGTGTGTGTGAGTCTCTGTGTGTGTGTGGTGTGTGTGTGGTGTGTGTGCGTGTGTGTGCGTGTGTGTGTGTGTGAGTGTGTGTGAGTGTGTGTGTGCGCAACATGATCCTATTTTCTAGTCCATGTTAATATTCTTGCTGCTGCATTTTGCACAAGTTGTAATTTGTTGGTTGTACTTGCAGGAAATCCTATGAACAAATCATTACAGTAGTCAAGTTGAGAAAACACAAACGCATGTATCAGTTTATTAGCATCCTGCAGACAGACACAAGGTTCAACTCATGCTGTATTCCTTAAATGATAGAGAGCAGTTTTAGTAATGTTATTAATATGTGCTTTAAAAGTTAAATCAGAGTCTAGAGTTACACCAAGATTCCTAACTTCAGTTTTTATTTGTGGAGCCAGATTTCCAAGTCTTTCATACACCTTTTTCCTCTTTGCTTCACTACTAATTATAATTGTGTATAATTGTATACGCGTTAATGTCTGTTATAACCTTCAAATAAAACATAATAAATGTCTTTTAAAAGCTGTATATGTCTGTGTTTATTCTATGCAAAAATGGCAAAACCTTAAGCTTTTAATGATCTTAAGAACAAATAAAGAAACAGGCAAAGTAATTTAGCCTGTGACAGCTTTTCCCTTTGAGTCCTTTAAATGCTGAAGTCTTGTTTGTAAACTTAGTCATTTACAGAAAGAAGAGTCAGTATTGTCCCAATGAGTATTGATGGCTTTAAACTGTTGAGAAACTTTGCCAAGCTAGTTTGTGTTTAATGTGAGACCAAATATTTTCTAACCCCTTAAACAGCCAGAACCCACTGACCCAGTTTTGCTACATACTTTTATAACATAAGAATAACTCAGCCTATTTGCATTGTAGTCCATGTAGTAACTGAATAAGACGACTAATTTGTAAAAAGAAAAATGTCACCATGCCAGTGTTTGCATGGCTGCTGCTGCCGTTGGTTACTATGAGACACAGAATGACATTTTTCCAACACCAACAACAAAACCACCAAAAAACAGTAAAGACTCACCACTGAATTTTATAGTAGCTGTGATTATGTAGACCAGAATTATGGAATTAAGAAACTAATTTAAAAATAAGACAGAAAAGAAGAAATGATTAAATCTAGGAATGTGTTTTATAGTGATGACAAAGACAAATATGACTGCAGCAGTTCAGCTCATATAAAACCTTTATTGTACAATTGTTTTCTGAATTACAAACAAAGCAAATATATAAAAGGTAAAGGTGAAGATTAGCAGAAGACAAACTAAACAGATCACAGTAGATCTTTCCTCTTCACTCTAGGGGCTGGAGCAGCTGTTATCATTCAAATGACTGATTCTGTTGTGCATTAACTCATTGGTCTGATTTAGTGTTCAGAATGAGATCAATCAAAAATACATTAGTACAGTAACATACTGTATAATCACAATAAAAAAGATACAGTTACACTGTGGTAATACAGTAACATACTGCATAATCACAATAAACCCAGATACAGTTACACTGCAGTAATACAGTAACATACTGTATAATCACAATAAAAAAGATACAGTTACACTGCAGTAATACAGTAACATACTGTATAATCACAATAAACCCAGATACAGTAACACTTCAGTAATACAGTAACATACTGTATAATCACAATAAACCCAGATACAGTAACACTGCAGTAATACAGTAACATACTGTATAATCACAATAAACCCAGATACAGTAACACTGCAGTAATACAGTAACATACTGTATAATCACAGTACAGTGAAATACAGTAACACTGCAGGGAAAATTCACTCATCCTGGTTTCTCTCTATCAGTTTATTCAGTGCATCTGCTATGACTGGTAGTCGGTCAGGAGCTCTCACTGATCTGACCGAGTGATTATAACTGGATCACTGAGTGTTCCCCAAAGCAGCCGCTGTGTTAACCTGCTAAACGGTCCTCTAGTGTCCTCCTGACGGTCAACTCCTATTACTGTGATTCCCTCTCTGACTCCCTCTCTGAGTCTCTGTCTCAGTGTTTCCATCTCTCTCTCTTTTTCATCCATCCTACAATCAAACTCTTTCTGTTTCTTTGTCATGAGTTCCCAGATTCTCTGCTGGAGTTCAGGCAGGATGATCTTCCTGAAGTTCCTCTCTGCCTCCATTCTGGCTTCTCCTTCATAGGTCTCCTTGATCTCCTCCATCTCCTGCCTGTGTCTCTCCTCCATCTCTCTCCTCTCCTTTTCAGTCTCTTCTTTCAGTCTCTCCAGCTCCAACTGAACCTCATTCCTCTGCTGAATCTCTCTCTCCACCTCTCTCTCCAGCTCTACCTTTCTCTTCTCATCTCTTTCCTCTTTTAACATTCCCTCTAGTTTAGTTATTCGCTCTTCATGCTGAGTTATCTTTGTATGATAGTCAGCAGTTGATTCTGTAAACTTTATTAAAGTCTCCTGTTCACATCTCTCCAGTTTCTCTCTAGTTTCTCTTTCTTGTCTCTCTCTCATCTCCTCTCTTTCTCTAACAATTCTTCTCTCTATCTCTCTGATCTGAGATTCTGTCTCCAGGTAGATCTCACTGCTGTAGAATTTCTCTCTGTTTCCTTCCACCATCTTCTCTATCTTCTCCAGCAGCTCTGAGATTTGAGAACCATCTCCACTCTCCTTAATGCTGAGACAGTGAAACCTGTTCCCACATTTCTCTACAAGTCTCTGGACCTCCTGGTTTCCTGACTGGATAAACTCTTCAATGTTCTTCTCTTGGACTTCATCAGTAACAGTGAAAAGGATCATGGTGTTCCTCCAACATCTCTCTCCAAAGATCTCCTCCATTTTCTCCAGCATGCCTCTCTCCTCTCCTGTAGACTGCTTCACTGGTATGACTAGGAGGAAGGCGTGGGGTCCTGGGGCAGACAGATGGACACAGAGTCCCACGTCCTGTCTCAGCTCCTCCAGAGAGAGTCCAGGACAGAACCAGTTAGGCGTGTCCACCACAGTCACCTGCCTCCCAGCCACCTCCCCCTGTCTGCTCTCACTCTGCTGCCTCACTGTAGACACTCCAGCCTGGCTCCTCTCCTTTCTGCCCAGGATGGTGTTTCCTGCTGCTCTCTTCCCACATCCAGTCCTTCCCAGCAGCACCAGCCTGAGCTCTGCTACAGGAACTGACTCTGGAGAGGCTTCAGTAGAGGATTCTCCACTCACTGTGAATCAACAGGGAATGAAGAAATGATGTTAGTGTATGTGGATATTATTCTCTGAATATTTATAAAATAAACACATGAAAATGTATTTATTTACTATCTGGAGGAAGTCCTTCTTTACTGTTTCTTCTCCTGAGTGGTGCTGCTGAGTCTGGAGTCTCTCCACTGACTATAAAACAGAAGAATCAGACATAATGGACATTAGATACAGTGTGTCGACAGTATAAATTATTAAATTCACATATAGGTTATACTGTGCCTGCATAATATTTTGATGTTATCATTAAATTATTATAAAACTTCTTATCATAAAACAATTGACAGTTTTTGTTTAAATTCTTATTAAACACACATTTTCTGAAGTCCACATTCTAATGCATCACCTCCACTGTGTGATTAGCGTTTCATAGTGATATATGTTGTAATTTTATGCAATCTTAGTTGTTACTTACAGTCTGGAGGTCTAATGTCTTTGCTGTTTCTCTTCCTGGCTGGAGCTGCTGAGTCTGGATCTGTTCTCTCCTGCAGCTGCTTGTTTCTCTCCTCTAGAAGTCTGTCTTTCTCCTCAACCTGCTTGTCTCTTTCCATTAGCTGTGTGTTTCTCTCACTTAGAAGTCTCTCCTTCTTCAAGCTGTTTGTCTTTTCACTCACTTCAGTTTTCTGTTGTTCCAGTAGGATCATCATCTCCTGTAGTTTGCTGCTCTGTCCTGCAGTTCCTTACTCAGAGTCTCCAGCTGCTTTTTACTGCTTTCCACCTCCTTCACTGTGATCTCCAGTAGAG